TAGTTCAGCTGGCACCACAGTCCACAAAGTCTTGGGTCAGACCTCTGTACTCCTTGTCGTCCCCATCAGTGATGAGGCCGACTATTGCAGAGTCATCAGAGAACTTCTGCAGGAAGCACTGGGTGGAATTGTGGGAGAAGTCTGCAGTGTAGATGGTGAAGAGGAACGGAGCCAGAACCGTCCCTGTGGGGCCCCCGTACTGCAGACGACCCTGTCCGACACACAGCCCTGAGTCCTCACATACTGTGGTCGGTCGGTGAGGTAGTCCAAAATCCAGGTAGTGAGGTGATGGTCCACTCCAGAGTTCACCAGCTTGTCCTTTAGAACCGAGGGAAGAATGGTGTTGAAGGCACTGGAGAAATCAAAGAACATAATTCTCACAGTGCTTCCAGCGGTCTCCAGGTGAGCGAGGGAACGATGTAGGAGGTGAATGACGGCATCATCCGCTCCAATGCCAGGCTGGTAGGCAAACTGAAGTGGGTCCAGTGATGAGCTTATTAGGCGCCGAAGCTGAGCCAGGACCAACCGCTCCAGGGTCTTCATCAGGTGGGATGTCAGAGCCACCGGCCTGTAGCTGTTGAGGTCCTTGGGGCGTGAAGTCTTTGGCACTGGTACAACACAGGAGGTTTTCCAGAGCTGTGGGACTCTTCCCAACCTCAGGCTCAGGTTGAAGAGGTGCTCCATCACCCCACACAGTTGGTCCGCGCAGGACCTGACGACCCTCGAGCTGATGCCATCTGGACCCGCTGCCTTCTTGCCATTAATCCTCCTCAGTTCCCTCCTAACCTGGGTGGTTGAGAGAGACAGGCTGGAGCTTTGTGTTGAGTGTGTATTGGATGCTGTAGTTGGGGGTGGGGGGGAGTGAGCAGGGTGAATAGCTGCTAAAAATAGCAGCACAGCTCTCTTCTTTATAACCTCTTAGAGTTCACCTGTATGTTTATATACCTGTGTGTGCTCACCATCAGGTAATCAGTTTTAAAAAGCTATGAGTGCAGCCCTGAAAGCTTACATATTATTTCTAAATCACTTCATGTAATGATAACAAGCCATCCTTTCTCTAGTGGGGTCTCACAGCTTTTATCTTTATAATCTTTCTGGTTGATTTGTAATATTAGAAACATGACTGCTGTCTTTTATCTGTGTGACTATACAGCCTGTTTCAGACATGACAACCAGACAGTGTCTGAAGTTATCTTTAATACATGCAACACAGCTGGAGATAGTCCAGACACTTTCTCACTTCTGATGATAATATTTTTGGTTTAGGTATTGTTGCTTTCTGGCTTGAAGCTTATCTACAAAAGCAGTTCAATAAGGAGAGATCATGTGGAAAAACCGAACATGATTTATTGAGATACAGAAATAAATGTAACTGTTAGGCAGTTAGACTCCAATGACCCATCATAGCAGAAGAAATCTCAGCAGTGACAGGATTTTGCATAAGCCACACCCCAGAGTCAAAATGCTGGTAGTGATGAAGATGGAGGCTGGGACAGGGTTCTGAGTGACCACGGTGAGGAGGAGAAAGGAGAGAGGGCGGGCTGCATAGCTGAGGATCTGAAACACAGAATGGTAGAAGCAGAAGAGCAACAGATTTAAAGCATGCAGAGTGGAGGCTGGCAAGAGCATGACTGGAATAAAGTAATGATGTCAGAACTGAGTTTGTGCTGAAAAATGAATAGATATAAACTAACAGCCACCAGGAAGCAGACAGATGACTTATTACAGACATGCCTTGTTTAAATTATGTATAAGCATCATTTTCTATGTCATCAGAATGTATCTGTATTATAGTTTTAGCTTTAGTCTTTTTATTAAAAGTTGGATGTCTGCATAATTGTAGACTATATGTCTGGTATGTATCATCTCAAGACTGTCATGATACAGTCTGAGTTATGACAGTATAGGTACGTAATGCAGAAAAATTGCTCCACAGGCCATAACACTATATAATCTAAATAAAATGATAATGAAATAAAAATTAAAAGCAAAGTGAAAAATAAATGTTATCCACAATAAGTAAATTGAAAATGGTGTTTAACTTTTGATAATGTAACACAACCTTTGTCCCAACCAGGACTCGAACCCGCGCTCAGACAGTTCAGTGTAAAAAAAAAACAACCCATTTTTTTCCAATGCCCGAAAAGCTGCGATTTGATTGGCTGTTTCTCCGTTACACCTATACGCGAGGAGAACAACTGAGATAATCCATCCAAAATACGAGGTTAGTCATTCATATACTGCTGCATGGGCTGGGCTGTAGTTACATCCTAAGGTTTTAAAAACTGAGCTTAAATAAATGATTAGCGGTAATAAAAGCCGAGGGAGGTCAACAGGGATCACTGACAGTCAGTGATCCCTGTTGACCTCCCTTTCTTTTGAGATCAAATAGAAGAAAATACATAACATTAAACATGTTAACAACACAAAAGCCATATTAAACGCAGACTACTTTAGACCCGGAAGTAGGATTCGTGGCGTCATCACTGAACAACCGGATATGAATGGAGCTCACCGCAGTGTCATTTACAGTTAATTTATGGTCATTTACTGTCAGGGGTGGAAGTAATGAATTACAAATACTCACGTTACTGTAATTAAGTAGATTTTTTGGGTACTTGTACTTTTATGAGTAATTTTTCAAGTGTGTAATTTTACTCATACTTGAGTACAACTTACACCATGTAATCTACTGAGTACGCCCACAATTTGAATTAATATTCAAACCTTTCGTCTGCATTTTTGCAGCCAATAAAGCCGTGCAATCCCGACCGGCCAATTTAAGACGTAAGCAAAGAATAAACTCTGATGCAGCAGCAGGCACAGGTGTCTGGAGGTGCTACATGGTGGAGTACAAACTACTTTATAGACGGAAGATGTGGAGACAAAGAAGCCAAAATGGAGACAGAGGACAACTGTCAACCATGAAAACGACGTAGAAAAGACGGAGGACGTGTGCCCGTGGCCATACCTGGAGGAATTTTTCATGTGCAGAGGGAGAAAAGGAGACAGCGTCCAGATGCAGTGCAAACTTTGACCTCTACAGTCATTTCAGCTTACAAGACTTCAGCGTCTAATCTAAAAAAAAAAAACACATTGAGGTAAGAGGTTTTACAACTATACGTGTACAATATTGCCTTCTTATTTTTCATGTGTGTTAAGGTTATTAGTTTGGCTGAGATATTGTCACCGCCATTGGTTAGCCTGATATTAAAATAAGACGGAGCTAGCTAATGTGCGTGTGTGCATGCATAATTGAGCTAAATTCGTAGGAATGTTTTAGCTTATTATTTGGATAACCACCGTCATTACAATAAATTAAATTTGTAGTCATTTAAAACTCACAGGCCTACAATCAGCTGGCCTATATAAAAAAACAAAAACAAAATTTGAACACAGTGCTGAGCTGCATCTCAAATTAATCTTCCAGCTCTCAGCTGACATGTACCAGAGCCCGCTTGATGGATCAGTTGATCAGGATCATTGGCCTGATATAGGTCTATCATAGTGACGTGGCTCTTAATCAGTAGGGTTATATGTTTCCCAATATGATATATTTTTTTAAAGAACATAATGTGGATTGTTTTTATTTGTTAGCTGTATGGGCAGCATTTTTGTGTATGTGATCCCTTTCCTTAAATTACATTTGCTATATACACATATTTTGCTCTCTTAGTATTTTTAGAACCTGACTAATACTGAAAACTTTAGGGTGATACTGATAAAAAGGACTTAAAAATTTAGATACTGATACATTGGTCGATACTCTTTTTACAGATAGTATACAGATTACAGAACTTGGAATGTATACAGAAATTCATGTTTTTCGCAATGATCGTTCAAATTGGTTTACATTTGTAAATAAATACAGCAATATATCTGCAAGATTTGACCAAATTCACCACTCTTTTATACTATGCTAAACAATCAAAGATTAGCTCATGTCTAGTTGAATGATGTTTTAAAAATGTTTTCCTGTAGTGTTAATCACAGTGATGTTATGAAGTAATGTATGAACCTGACGTATGATAATATTTATCTCTACAGAGGAAACATCCATCGAAGATTGAGCAGTACAATATCACTGTGGCATCAACATCTCGTCAGCGAAAGGCCACAGCCACACCAAACAAGCTCTCAGCAAATACACAAGCCAAGTTACCAGACCTGATGTTGAGAGCTGCAAACAAACATGTTCCACAAGCAACTGTTGACATGCTTGTCATCAATTTCATATGTGAGGGTCTACAGCCATTTGCAGTGGTAGAACAGCCATCTTTCAAAGAATTGGTTACCACATTACAACCTCAAGCCAAAGTCCTCTCCAGACCCACTGTCCGTGCCAGAATCTGTGAAGCTGCTGATCACATGAAGATGACTTTGGTTGCAGCATTGGATAAAGTCAAATTTGTTGCTACCACTACTGATTGTTGGTCAGTTCATCAGAAAAGTTACCTTGGAGTCACATGCCATTGGAGGAAGAGTCCTGGAAAGAAGATCTGCAGCACCAGCATGCAAAAGATTGAGAGGGTCTCACACATTTGACATGCTTGCTGGTGCGCTTGATGATATCCATTGCCAATACAAGATTAGAGGCAAAGTTGTAAGAACCACAACTGATATGTGGAAGGCCTTGACAAAGTTGGATCCACTGTTTGGGGCACAAAATGATGCAGATGAAGCTGAAGATGAAACAGACCCAGAAACTATTGACCTGACTGACCATATTGACTACCATGAGGCAAGTGCAATTCTTGATGAAGACTCTGGTTTGGAGTATCAACTCCCGTCTCATCAGCGATGTGCATGTCACCTGCTAAACCTTGTGGCAACATCTGATGCTGCCCTAGCAGAGAGCATGAAGGAAACCTACGAGAGGCTCTCCCGTGCATGCTTTGCAAAATGCCAGGCCATTTGGAACAAAACTCATTTGGCTAATGAAGTGGTAGAGGACAAGTGTGAACTACAGATCATTCGTCCCAATGCAACACAATGGAATTCAACCTACCTTGCCATTGAAAGGATAATACGCATCATTGATGAGAAGGGGGAAAATGCCATCAGGAGCATTTGTGAGGAGTTCAAGGTGAAAATGTGAGTAAAATTGGACACCTACCAATATGGTTGCAAATCTTGTGAATTTTCCTTAATGGATGGTTAAAACGTGAGCAGACTCTTAATATTAAATCAGAAGATCCCTGTTATAGTCATGGTGGGTTTTGTTGTTGTGTCTTACAGGTTGAGTCCTGCAGAAGTTGCATTCCTTAGGGAGTACTGTACCACCATGAAGCCACTGGTGAAAGCTTCAAACATTCTTCAGTCTGAGTCCACTTCCTTTATGGGATGGCTCCTGCCAGTAATCCAACAACTACTGTTCAAACTTAGCAGGCTGGAGACATCAAGCAAGACATGCGTGCCACTCATCAGAGTCCTGCAAAATGGCCTTCAAAAGCGTTTTGGAGCGATGATGGAGGATCCAGAGTTAGCTGCAGCTGCAGTCCTCTTACCCAAGTTCAAGACTTCCTGGACTGACAGAGCAGATGTAACAGAGGCTGGTAAGGATTCATGTGATCCCATTTTTGTGTATTTTTACATTTGAACACATGCTTAAGTGAGTATTTCACCTAATACATTGTAAGTTATTGATGGTCTGTCCCGAATACTAAACAATCCTTTTTGAGAATTTGCCGTTTTTAAATTTGTGTTCAGGAATAATCACTGAAATGTAAATAACAAAATTGTGTTATCTACTTGCAATTACAGCCTTGACATACATCAAACAACATCTTGAAACGACAGAGCATGAGAGTGAGGATCAGCAAAGAGAGTCATCTGATGAAGATGAATTCTTCTCCAGACCAATCTCCAGAAGGCTGCAAAGTGCAGTTGAGCTTGATGGTTACCTTGCTTGTGCCACAGACACCATGGAGCTGCTGCACTCCTTCTCAGGTATCAAAAACCTCTCTCTTAAACTGAACACAGCTCTGCCTGCTTCTGCTGCGTGTGAACGACTTTTTAGCTGTGCTGGTCTACTCTTCACAGCCAAATGAAGTCGGATTGCCTCTGTTAATTTAGAAAACCAGCTCTTGCTGAAACTGAACAAAAGGTTCAGAAAGTAAAGTGTGCTTGAATGTCCAGCTTGAATGAAAAAAAAATACACAAAGCTGGAGTTCTTCTGTGTCTTTACGTGGCCAGCTGCCTCTTCTTCTCCCATTCTCTCTCCCTCTCTCTCCTGTTGCTACTTAAATGATGAAACTGATCAATGATCAGCTGATCGCTTTTCTCTCTTGTTTGTTTATCGCGCATTTCGAGCCAGAAAGAGGAAACCAGCGGTGGTCGCTCTAAACAACAGCAGCAGGTTAAAACTTGATCAGCTGCTATTAGAATTTATTTAATATTACTTTCTAGTATCAGCTGATGTTGGCTGGAGCCACAGCTGTAACAGCTGCTGGTCATGATATCGGTTTGGATATATGGTGAGAGGGAAACGTGAAGATGAAACCAGGAGATGTCCTTACTGAATCATCAGAGCTGAACAGGTGATGGAGAAACAGGTTTACCTTTTAGGTGACATGAATAAGTTGAAGGGAAGTTATGAACTGTTTCTAAGAGACAAATAACATCAGGATCCTTTTTTACTGACAGCTGGTAACTGTGCAGGGACGGGTCTAGCAAAGTTTTGCAAGGGGGCAGGTAACCATATACATGCACTGTTTATAAGATTGGGGAAACCTGCAGTCAGCTGAGACTGAAGAAGTCAATTGGATGAGTGACGAAACGTTTTTCCCACAAAACGTAAAGTCCAGATGAACAGAATCAACTTTTGGAGATACTATATAGCTCATGCTAATATCACATCTTCACATTTTTCTTTTTAGAGGTAACAATAACTTTGCATTCTCGCTACTCACCATGCTCTAAAACAGGTATATGTTAGCAATGACATCATTTAACAAATGTTTTTAAAATTCTAGCCGTGCTAATTAGCCTTAGGATTGGTTGAGGTCTGTGCAAGCCTTTGGAACAAAATCAGTCTTTTAAAGCTCACTATTTTCCAGGTGAGCCTATAGCACATTTGTTAAAGTCAGTCCGGATTGTACAGCTTCTAATCAGAAACAATTAAAGTTTGTTTCTTTTTTTTGTGGTTTTTTTTTTGTGCTCATCAATCTTTTTCTGTAAGTAGTTACCGAAATACAGTCAACCTTTCTTCATTTTCCTAAGTGTGTGTGTGTATATATATGTGTGTGTGTATGTATGTATATATATGTATGTATGTATGTATATATATTATATATATATATATATATATATATATATATATATATATATATATATATATATATATATATATAACAAAAAAAAAACAAACCACAACGCCCCCCAGTCCCACACAGATCAACACAACCATCAAACATATTAGAGGAATATAACAGTAACAAAAGTAGATTTAAACAGGCAAAATAAGAGATAAAGGGTTGCCACTTGTGAAAAAATTTGGCTGTGCAACCTCTCAACGTATATTTAATTTTTTCAAGTTTTAAAAAAAACATGACATCTTCAAGCCACCGGGAAACAGTAGGATACTTAACAGACTTCCAATGCAACAATATTAGACGTCTCGCTAATAGGGATGTGAAGGCTATAATATCCTTTTGTGTGGAATCAAGTGTAAGTGAGCGAACAGGAATCCCAAATACAGCAATCAGAGGACAAGGATGAAGAGTTACCCCAAGAACAGTTGACATAATAGCAAAATACCCTGTCCAGAAACCTTGTAGCTCAGGACACAGAAAAAACATGTGGCTAAGGTACGACCAGTACTTTTAACATTTTATCAATTATTTACCAAATTAAAAAACAACATGTGGTAACTTATTTTTAATTTTGCTGCATACAAGTTGAATGAATGCTTACTGGATCTAGAACACCATTTAGATCATAACAGCTCCTGATCAGGATGAATTTCATTTTCAAATCAAATTTCATGTCGCAGTTTCACACTTTTGTAACATATTATTTCAAAGCTTGCTTATGGGCTTGTTTTGGAGCAGACCAACAGTCAGGCTCGTCTTCACCCTTACTGTCAGACTCTGAATTGATGGTTCTGCTATATCTCACCTGGCTGAGTGGGGACACATGTACTAAACGTTAGAGTTCCCACTGCAGGAGCTTGGGTTTGAGTCTGCCCTCGACCGTGTCCTGTGTGCCATACCGCCTCACTCTCTCCCCACCTTCCTGCCTCATGTTCTGAAATCTCTTCCTCTCCATCAACTTTGAGTTTCTTTGAGTGGAGCTTCTTTTGCAGCTGTGACAAAATATAGAATGGTTTCTGCAACCAGGGAGTAAAATGTGCTGCAGTGTGAGGGCGCACAGGTGTAGGTGTGGAATTTTACATATAAATATTATAGTTTACTTCATGCACAAGAAATGTAAACATTTAATCTAACCCACTTTTCATCAACTACATAACCTTTATGGAGAGTACATTCATAAATTGTGTGTATCACACACACAAACACACATCCACTAAACTCTCTCATTTTATATCTCTCCCTCTCTCTTGTGAATGATGGAAGTTTGGTGGACTGTGTGGTTTGTCTGGCTGAAAGTTGTTTTTTTTTTTGTGTGGTGTGTTGTGAGGCTGATTATGAGTTAGTGTAATTGTGTATGGTGTTGTTAGTGTAGTTTATGTGGTGTTAGTGGTTTTTCCTGGATGCAGAGCAGGTCAGTATGCCGTGGACTTTTACACCACCATGTTAGGGATGGAGTAAAGTAATAAAGCTTGAGTGGAGAAGCTGCTGCAGGGGCTTCCTCAGCTGAGCTCTGAGGACAGAGCTGTCCTGGATGCTAACTTTTCTTTGGAGGAGATTAGTGCTGCTGCTGGTCAGCTGGCTCCTGCACAGGGTGGGCTGCCTGCAGACTTCTGTAAAAGACTGTTACTGGCATCGAGCCATCATGTGGGGCTCTCTCTTCTCCCTAAAAAACAGAGATTTGTCTCTGCTTAGAAATGGAGACGTGGCTCTGTTATGCACAGATTACTAACTTCCTTCAAAAGTACTGGCCACCAGGCCGAAACACTTTGTGAAATGAATCACTCACAGGGATCAGTCGTACTGTGTACCACACAGCTCTAATGTGAACAAGAGTTTTCTCATGAGAGACTTGGTAGTTATTTGTAAATTGTACAGTTTGATGTTGGAATAATTTCTTTAGATTAAGAGAAAGTGTTTGATAGGATTGACAATCTTTTTTGTTTTTCCATTATGAGAAGTTTTGCTTTTTGGAGGTGGATTTTTGTCACTTTTGGGGCTGTTGTATCAGGCGGCTTTCTGTTTTGTAAAAGTGGATGATGGGCTGAGCTGCCCAGTATAAGTTTGGAGAGGATCTAACTGGAATGTCCTGTTTCTGGAATATATATATTTATATTGGTATATTTGTTAGAATTTTTAATCTTTGTTGAATGTTTTAAGAGATAAATAAGCAAAGTTATCTAGATTTATGTTGCCAGGTTTATGTCGGAGGCCTCTGCTGGTGTTGTCATTGTTTTTATGTTTTCATTACAGATCAGAGTGATGTGGACTTTCTCAAAAGATGTTTAGATTTGTATGAGAACCTTCAGCAAAGGTGAGCTGGTGAAAAAATATGGTGTAACAGGTTTGTTGGTGGTCATATAGAGACTTTTTTTTTTTTTAGGAAAAGAAGAGTCTCGGAGGTTGCCATGGAGACGGTCTGTGTCAGACTGTCTAAACCAAAAATGGATGCTGTACATACACTGATAAATGTCATTTCAGGAGTGGCCAGATTGAAATCCAGAGAAAACTATGCTAGAGGTGAAAGGTCAAACATTGGTCATCATGTTGAGATTTTTTTTAATACCACAGACTGACAAAGAAAACTGAAATTTGTGAATTTTAAAGGTGTGCAAGATGTGCTGTGTTCAGTCGCAGGGCCTTGCCCTTTTATTTCATTTGTCTTTGGTTTCGAGTTTTATTTGTGCTCTTGTAATTATTTGTGATAAAACTTTTTCTATTTTGAGATCAAGATTCAAGTGGAAATCTTTGTGTGTCTGTCTCTCCCTTGGTTTCTGTAGAGGTGCAGTGTGGGGGCGCCTGGATAAATGTTAAACAGAAGCTAGATGTAGTGTTCCTCCACTGTCCGTTAAGGATATGAGGAAAAGAAATGGTCAAGAACAAAGTGTATGGTGTATTTATAAAAGAAAATGGCTTTTAAATTGTATACCAAAACGACCACCAGAAAGTCAACTACAACTTGTTACATAATCATCATGATTGTTGTATCAGTTTAACAATTTATGGGTTGACTTCTTTCGGTTCATTCACTGTTTACATCATGAAGGAAAAAGAAGGCAACAGGCTGAGAAATGAAGCTGTTGTGTGTCTTTGTGGCCACACGGGGGCAGTGCTGCATAAATAGTAGAATCTCTTCCTGGACACTTTTTCTGGACCTCTTTTTAAATGACTAATAAAGACAACAACAACATGAATTACATCAGGATCTGATATGGTTGTCTTTTTTTGTTGAGCTTTATATATTTCAGAATGCCTAGAGTTTGTTTGTTTCCCATGTTTTGTGATACAGAACATCTCCTCTCAGACGGCTGTTGTCTCATAATGGGTCGTTACCTGGTCTGATGGGGTGTTTGTTCCATTTATAAATCAAGTGATTGATTTGTGAAATGAGAGATGGCCTCTGACCTGCTGACTGGTGTCTGATCTTCTCTGCTCCCCTCAAATTTGACAACTACTCGGCTAATGTGATGGTGGACAGGAAGTCACTAAACCTGGGACTCTGGAAACACATTTCTAGGGATAAAAAGTTAATGTAGATCGTTTCAGGAGATAAATATTAAATGATCAATTTGGCGATTATACTAATATAGTAAGAAAAGAATGTATGAAGAAAAGATTTTTTTATCTATACACTTAAGC